TTCCCTGAAAATAAGGCCAAGCGCTTATTTCGGGGGTCAAAAGAAAATAAGACCCTGTCTTATTTTCAGGGAAACACGGTATTATAAGCTATTTTCTACTTTCCGGCATCCATCTCATCATTTTTGAAACCACATTTAATGCTAGCCATCCCCACATCTTGAGGCGGCAATTGAGTAAAGAACTGGCATTTGTTTTTGTTCTTTAAACGTTTCTCAATCTTCACCACTTTAAAATGTATGGACTTCAATCCCCAGAATTCCCTTCATTCCATAGCTGGCTGAAGAATTCTGGGAGTTGAAGTCCACACATCTTAGTTAGCAAGGGTAATAAATACTGGTTTAAGGACAAGCACGCTCCTCCTAAATATCACATCCCTTAAAGGGGGGGGGGGGAGGATAACTTCATTTTTCTTCCAAGAACATCAACTTAGTCTCAGAGCAGATACTGAAAATATGACTAACTTTTGATGCCTGAGAATACTAGCCAGGCTGTATGTATCTGAGTCCATGATCTGATTAACAAAGCATGTTAAGTCATATGGTGGTTTGCAGACTGCAGTGCAATAAATAGATTCATTAGATATGTTGAACCATAGAATTCTAGAATGCAAACGGATCACTGGATCCTTGAACCAAATCTGCAACTTAGTGCAGGAATCTAAACTGAGGCATCTTCAGACCGTAATATAACAGGTTATACTAAAGATGAACCCAATATGTGACCTCTTCATTCAATGTGCAAGTGGATTCACACTAATGCTGGGATGTTTGCTTAATGTCTTGCTAAAACCCATCCAATTGCAGGCAGTGGTATAGGAATCCAGTTTGTGTCTTGCACTGTAAAGCCAAACAGTTTTACTGTTAGCTAGATTTTTATTTCACATGTTTAAATCTGTGGGTTATGTTGGTTTATAAACCTTGGATTCTTATTTGAACAGGTTAATGTATCACACTAACCCCAAAACAAGTAATCCATATTGTCATCCTGCACAAAATATCCTAACTAGACAAAGTGCAAAATGATTTATATCTTGTCAAGAATGTAAAATATTTTAAAAGCTTAGGCCAGTGATATACTTTGCTTAAGTTGAATTAACATATTGCTAGAACACAGCCAGTTAGCCTTTATTGTCATTGTACAAAATAAATACAAGGAAATTGGTTGTAGGTTATGGTGTAGGAATAGTTTGCCTCTTGCATTCACCTATCTACCCATTTAGATTGGGTTTCTCACGTGCCACTTTTCCATAAAGTGTTCATGTGGTGACCATAGTCAAATCATAATTTATCACTATATAAATCCCACCACAAGCTGATTTCACACGTTGTGCTATATTACAACACAGCTTGCTTGTTTTTAGTCAAGTGTCTTTTCTGAATCAGATTTGTTAATTTATCTGCAAACAATAGAATAGAGTAGAATTCTTTATTGGCCAAGTGTGATTGGACACACAAGGCATTTGTCTTTGGTACCTATGCTCTCAGTGTATATACATAAAAAGACAAGATACATTCATGAAGAATCATAAAGTACAGCACTTAATGATAGTCATAGGGTACAAATAAGCAATCAGGAAACAATATCAGTATAAATCGTAAGGATACAAGCAACACAGTTATAGTTCTGCAGTCATAAGTGGGAAGAGACGGGTGATAGGAACGATGAGAAGACTAATAGTAATAGTAATGCAGCCTTGGGGAATAGTTTGACAGTATTGAGGGAAATATTTGTTTAGCAGAGGGATGGCGTTTGGGAAAAAAAACTGTTCGTCTGTCTAGTAAAGACTGACTTGTGTGACAAACTGTGGTTAATACAGTCCGTACCTTAGCATGTGGAGTGAATCTTGCAAATATCATCGTCATCGTCATCATTTATTCATTAAGGAAAAATTGTGTTCGATCTGGGCAAACGAGTTTCCCCAAGCAGACCGGCTTTCTGCTGTCCTCACTGCCTACTCAGAGTTTGGTTCTTGTAGCCAAGCAGCTTAACCACTATTGCACCCTGTCCACTTATTGGTGTAATCCTGAGTAGCCACAGACTTTGTGCCACAGGGACGGCTGTGGGCCCAAAGTCCGTTTTGCTGGAGCCGTTTGGTTACCATCTCCCCCTAAATCCCTCACCGCCCTGTGGTTCCTGGCAACCTGTTAAGTATTCTGTCATCGCCGAGCCAAACCTTTGCTACATCAGACTTGAAAAATGTTGGTGAAGACTTACCACCTTGCTTTTTTTTTTTTAGTTGTCATTGTTATTAACCTGTGTTTTCATTGTTATTATTATAAATATAAACCACACTCAGATTACAAGCCCTAACTTGGATTTTGTCTACTCGGAGAGCTCTCCAGGTTCATGATCGCCTGGGGACACCTTTCCCCAAGATAGCACCCTTTAAATATGCAAGGGCTGCTAAGAATTCTGGGAGTTGAAGTCCATCTTGTCTGTCTGGAGAGCTCCCAGGAGAAAAAAAATGTCTGTCTTAAATGTTGTGGAAAAAACACCATCACATGGAGCTTAGTCAGCTGGGAAGTCAACGTCCCAAGTGGGCAAGATATACATAGCTACATGTCTTTGGAGAGCAGCTTTATTTTGTACACGAAAAGTAAATCGGTGCCTTGGTTAAAAAAAAAAAAAAAAACAGCCAAAAGCAGGATAAGAGTGAGCCCTAGATTTCTATGAATAGTGGCCATATTGTCGCGTTTGAACACAACAGGAAGTTGGGTTCTAAAGGAAACTGGCTTACCAGGGAAGAATGCAGTGCTGGTTACTTTGCAGCCCAGTTGTTTCTCCCAGAGGATGATGGTAAGGTGAGCTAGCTAGGAAAAGGAAGCTCATTATTTTATCTAAGCCAAGATCCCTGGTTTTTTTTTTATTTCCAAGGGATTGTAAACGAAGGTTAGTGTTTAGTTTACAAATCCTGGCTTCTTTGGAGGCTGCAAATTCCACGCCTAGATTTACGTAATATTCTTTTACAAAAAAATGTGTCTATGGAGGAATTTTATACAATACTAAAAATGTTACGATTTTAAGGGGGAAAAAAAGAAAGGAAAAAAAAGTATGAAGAAGTGGTTTCCAATCTTGAAAATAAATTTAGCATCTATCTGCTTTCGGTACAGTTACCAAGTGATTCCCTTCTCATATTTTTTCCTTTCCAATCATCAGATCCAACAATCATCAGTTCATTTTTATCATTTTCAGCAAAAGGCCCATAAAGCATTCATTTTATGGAGTAATTAAACCATATTTACTGGCGGACATAGCCAACCAGGTGCAGATTGGCTCTGGGTGCTGGGTCTGCAGCATCTCCGTAGGTGCCTGCATAACGTCTAACCACACCTGATTTACATCTTTCAAGAATAATTTTATTTGGTTAAAAAATAGGATATGCCACCAAGGATGATAATAGAGAGAAGTCTACAGTGGGTCAGCTAGAGAGGGTGTGATGGAATATTTTGACAAGTCAGCCCTCCTGTACCCAATAGCATCTGGGGAGGGGAGTATTTTTAAAATTATCATATAAAATACAGAAGACAATACAGATAATAGAAAGTGGGGAAGGGAAAAAAGGAGAAGGAAGGTGTAAATACATGGGGAAAGGGGGGGGGGGAATTCAATTTTTTTCAGCACAATAAAGCACGGAATAAAAGTTACATTTTACTTTAACACCAAGTACTAGCAATTTCTATATCAACTAACTATATTAACCAGTGAAACCCAACATCAAGGATTCATTTTTTCTCTGTCTNTTTAAAGTGTAAAAAAAAATGATACCACTAATACTATGCCTGAGCGAAGTGGTAGCAAATCTGTTAAGTCAGTGCCTTGGCCATTTTAAGATGTGTGGACTTCAATTCCCAGAATTCCCCAGCCAGCCGGTGTTTAGAAACCGTGCTATAAGTGATTCTAATTCATGAAAAGTTAGCTACCAATAGAGGCAAGGCCGGGTCTGTTGCATTGAGGAACATTGAAGTCTGGACAGTGGTTGACTGATGATGCTTTTGCTGGAGAACATTCCGGCAATCTCCCATCTTTTGCTCCTTGCTGGATTTTTTAATGTAATGCCTTCTCACACAACATTTCCTCCTGTAGGATTACATTTGCCCAAGGTGCGAATCTGGTTTTATTGAAGAGCTGCCCGAAGAACCAAGGTAACAACCCCTTTTTTTTAAACTTTTGAAAATGACAAATGCGTATGTGGGGTAGCTCTGGGTCAGACGCTGACAAGTTTTCTCAAGAACTATTTTCTGTCTACATGGGAGGTGTTGGATCCACCTATAAATCAGTATGATTGATGGATAAGTGCTTGGTTTCTTTGTGTTGAAAACTCCCCATATCTAGAAGATATGCAAAGTCAATGAAGGTCCTTAGCCAAAAATATCCTTTTCCTAAGAATAACTGACTGTTTCCATCATCCTTGGCCACAGAGGCCAGGAAGAAAAATTGTTCATTTCCCAGCATTTCTGGCCCTTCTTCCTGGCCCACTTCCCTCAGATGCCTTCAGGAATGATCTCCTTTGTCTGAAGTTGGATGTGATACAGTCTTATTTCCTGAGTTAGTTTCTGTTACACATATACCAAGGAAGGAGTGGCACAAAAGCTGGTTAAACGTCATTAGCTGACTCATATCTGGTGCAAGCCGTAGGCTTAAGCAATGCTAAATTTCCAAGTTCAGTTTAGATCCTAATATGGGTAGTTCTTTAATTGCAACTGGTTGCTTAGCAACCGTTCGAAGTTATGACCGACCCCCAAAAGGGAATTTATGACCTGGATTCGAAGATCTGACAGTTGGTCCCCCTTCAATGATCATGTGCCCAGCAACACGTTCGCACGTACAGGTATTCGGAGTGTCCTGCTGTCACAGGACTGCATTTTGTGACTGCAAACGGCTACTTCCGGTTTTCAGCAAAACTGCACCCCTACCGAGCCATTGGTTTGTTTAACAACCGTGGTGTGATTTGTTTAATGAATGTGGTGATCCGCTCAATGATTAGTGCAAAAATGTCATAAAATATGGTGGCTGACCCGTTTTGTGGCCATCAGGACATATGACCTTACTTGGCAAATTCAATTATGGTCATATGTCAAGGACTAACTGTATCCATAACGCAACAAATGACTGCGCCTTGATATCAGCGCTTTGATATAAAGCAGGAAATAGGCTCCATAAGAAATGCTAAAACTTTCTCGATATAAACGATAATTGTAGAATCTTAACAGTGTTTCCCCTTCTTTCCCTCTTTGACCAAAGAGAATCAAGGTGGAGCAACCTTGAGTTTCTTTCTCACACTTTCCCCTATCCTGGGCCAAGCTCATGTTTTATTAACAGTTGCTGCATATTTTTTTCAAGACCTTATTTATTCCTTTTCACACTGGAGTTTCCTGCTTTCCGGTTATGTTCTCTCTTTAGAAATGGTGGTGGTGATAAAACGTGCCCCAGTGATAGCTTTGCAGCTGAATCTCTGTGGAGTTTCTCCATCATCCAGGCCATGGCTGTCCCAAAGGGACTTTTCAAAAGGCAACTGGACTTTCTGGGGGGGGGTGTTTTTTTTCCCTTGAAAATGTTTCGCTTCACGTCCCAGACGCTTCTTCCATTCTTTTGAAAAGCTCCTTTGGGACTTTGCAACTAAAGTCGGGGTCTCCCGTGTGGTGCCTGAGGGCATAATAAGCTTTCAGATACCTCTTTTAATCTCTGTCAGGAACTGTGTCCCAATCTTACCTCAAAAATGAAAACTAAAAGTTAAAGAAAGGGAAGTAGGTGTGCTACAAAGATAAACACCATCCCCCAGTGTAATCTTTATTCCTAAGCATGTCTGATGGCCTCTTAGAAAATCTCAAATTGCTGCCCTGGGGTTTTGCTAAAGAAAAGGACCTAGGAGGATTCTGTGTGGAATTTGGTAGCTGCTTCTGCCCTCAGCCCAGAAGGTGAGAACTTAATACAGTACAATAGCAGAGTTGGAAGGGACCTTGGAGGTCTTCTAGTCCAACCCGATGCCTAGGCAGGAAACCCTATACCGTTT